AAAAAAAAAAAAAAAAAAAACTTGTCAGCAATACTCTGAAAATTAAAATCCTAATATTTAGATGATTATGAGTGTTTAAATTACTATTCCAATAATTATGTTTTGTAGGCAGAGAAAATCCTGAAGGAGCAAGAGCGGCTGGCCTACATAAACCCCGACCTGGCTTTGGAGGAGAAGAACAAAGGCAACGAGTGTTTTCAGAAAGGTGCCGCCTGCAGCTCGGGGATCGGGGGGAGCGGCGCTGCGTGTGCCTCCCATGCCAGGCTGTGGGGTAATATGGCCGGCTATATGTGGGGGCCTTTTGCTTTTTAAAAGATAGACTTTGTTTTTCTTCCCCAGGGGACTATCCCCAGGCCATGAAGCATTATACAGAAGCCATCAAAAGGAACCCGAAAGATGCCAAATTATACAGCAATCGAGCTGCCTGCTACACCAAACTCCTGGAGTTCCAGCTGGCACTCAAGGTGAGGAGACCTGTGGGGGCGGCCATTACTGGAAGCCTGCATATGAGGAGTGGGTTTTCTCTCTGTGTTTTCATCAACATTGGGTTGATGATGGTGTTTGAGACAGTGTCTCACTCTGTCCTGCCTCGGCCTCCTGAGGAGCTAGGACCACAGGCACATACCACCACATCCTGCTTCATTTTTAATTTTTTTTGTAGAGTTGGGGTCTTGCTGTGTTGCCTAGATTTATAGTGGTGTGTGTGTGTGTAAAATATGGGACCTGTATCTAACTGGTCCTGGCCCATGGAGTTATTACTGGTTGGCAGTACATTGGAAGGCGGGTCCTTTCACCTCTGTATCCTTCCTCTTTTTTCTTTGTTTTTGCCTTTTTAACCATTTTTAAGAAGTGGAATTGCTGGGCCTTGTGGTGTCTATGTTTACTTTGTTTGTTTGTTTGAGACAGAGTCTCGCTCAGCTGCCCAGGCTGGAGTGCCGTGGCACGATCTCGGCTCACTGCCTCCATCTCCCGGGTTTAAGCAATTCTCCCATCTCATCTTGCCAAGTAGCTGGGATTACAGGCACCCGCCATCATGCCCGGCTAATTTTTTGTATTTTAGTGGAGACGAGGTTTCACCGTGTTGGCCAGGCTGGCCTTGAATTCCTGACCTCAGGTGATCCACTTGCCTCAGCCTCCCAAAGTGCTAGGATTACAAGCGTGAACCACTGTGCCTGGGCTCCCCCCCCCTTTTTTTTTTTTAAGACAAGGTCTGGCTCTGTCGCCCAGGGGGGCTGGAGTGCAGTGGCACGATCTCAGCTCACTGCAACCTCTGCTTCCCCAGCTTAAGCCATCCTCCCACCTCAGCCTCCTGAGTAGCTGGGACTACAGG